TGTCACTGGGCAGAGAAAGTAGAAGCAGCAAACTGGGGAGCTAATCTCTCTGACCTCTACTTCTATCAGCATGCTCCTTGCACTGTAGAACAACTGTTGGCTCCTTGTGTTGCTTATCATTCCTCTAGTCTGAGCTCAGCTGTATACTGGACTACAAAAGACTGAGGCAGCAGCCATTCAGCGAATGCCTAGTATTTCCATCAATAAATACTAGGCGCTCTATGATTGGATGAGGTGCGGCAAAGTGATGTTGCAGTCCCTTGTCCAATCAGAGAATACCCAGTGTTCATTAATAAAATACTGTGAGGGGAATTTATCAAAAAAAGAAAGAATCTGGGGCAGTTGTCCATGGCAACCAATCAGCATCAACCTTTTGTAGTAGTGCTATTATGTTACACGGTTACGACATCACATATTGTTGCAGCTGGTCCATTGGTTTTGTTATTGTTTGGGACACATTTAATACTCTTAGCGCAGCTACTGTCATCCACAGCATCAACCTTTCATTTTCAAACCTTACTGACGAGAGAAACGGATTGGTTGCTATGGGCAACTGCTACAGATTCTTCTGCTCCAGTTTTGATAAATCCCCCCTAGGCAGACATCCCAACCTGCAAAACCTTATTTCAGCTGCCTCTTTCTGAGGCTACTCTAGAGATCACATAACCTTCCTCCAGGAGGCAAGCCTCACTCTGAAACTTTACCCACTGATATCTTACCGGAAAGATTTACTCAGAGTAAACCTTTCAGGGAGAAAATGCCTCTCTCGAGGACGTCAGGGAGCCGATATCTAATAGCGGTAGACTCCCTGAACATCAGTGAGACTTGAGATCCCTGCCCCTACGTGTTTTATGAATGGCTGCTGTGATAAGTGAGCAACCTTCTCTGTTTTCTTAGCCGAGGGGATGTCTCTCAGCACAATGGCTGTTGTAGGACCCAGAAGAAAGCTCTGTAGTAGCTGAAATTACTATAGTGTTTTCCCTGTTCCCCATGGCCCTACCAGGGATACAATATGTATAGTGGACCAATGTAAGTATACATACTGTACATTATTATAGCTGGAGTTCAGCTTTAAGGATGTATTATTGAATTCAGAGCTGCATTGGGTATATATGTTATATTAGGCCACCACCTAAAATTGGTGGAGAAGAGATTTCAGCACGAGGGGCGTAGGGGGTTCTTCTCAGTTAGAGCGGTTAGGGTCTGGAACTCACTGCCGCATGCAGTGATTTCAGTTGGAAGTGTTGAATCGTTTAAAAAACATTTGGACGATTTCCTCAGAGACCATAACATACAGGTACAGGGTACAGGTAAACAAAAGGACAAGATCACACAGGGACTCATGCACACGCATACACATGCAGAATCACATACAGACACACAAAGGTTGAACTTGATGGACCTGTGTCTTTATTCGACCTCTAATACTATGTATATATCTGCTTGGAGTTCAGCTTTTACATGGAAGGCAGACAGATTACAAGTGCTTGCTTTCTAGTGGCTAATCTACAAAACACTGGGGGGAATTTATCAAAACTGGAGCAGACAAAATCTGGAGCAGCTGTGCATGGCAACCAATCATCTTCTTTATTTCATTTTCAAATCTTAACTGAACTGAAGAGAGAAGCTGATTGGTCGCCATGCATAGCTGCTCCACATTTTTTCTGCTCCACTTTTAATAAATTCTTCTCTATGTATTTAATACAGTAAAAAATATGGAAGTGCACGGCGGTATAAAATGTAAAAAAGCACATGAACATTATTTTGAAGGAAACGCTGAAATAATAACTCCTTTGGTTGATGTATATAACATGACTTTGCGCATTGACCTTTACCTTATTATTACGATTAATATGATGTAGCTTTTATATGTAAACCCAAATCCGTTCCACAAGCCAGCCAATGCCAGGTACTCTGTATCTTTGTATCTTGTACTGTATCTATGTATCTATTGTATCTTTGCCAATTTGTAAAGAGGTAATGAAGTGGATCAGGAGAGACATGGGGTGTAGTTTTTGGGAGTGCCCATGAAATGGCAGCCATAGCTTATGTTTGTGTCATTGGAGTGTGGACGGGTGGCAGAAATATGTGTTTTGTGTCATTTCATTCTAGAACTTGGCAAGTAAACAGTTCCCTGGGGTAGGCAGAGGTGAATGTGTGAGATGTCTGTCTGTGTCAGTCCGGTCAAAGGCAACAACAACATTATAAGTAACAGTTTCAGAGAAAATAATTGTATAGCCTTTCTAAAACTGGGTATGACTGAAAAAATGATGTGCTTTAAAGAAGAACTCTTCTTTAAAGAAGAATAAAGCTTCATTCTTCCAGTGGGGCTTACCCATGCACTACAAGAGTTAAGTGCTCCTTTTTGTCTAGGGTGTTCAATAAAAAAAGATATACTCGCCTGAACCTCCGCCTCGCCTGGCTTCTAGACTGGTCCGTGCAGCTTTGCTGCACAGAAATGCCACATGCAGAAATGCAGCACATTGGTGTGAACCAAAACAATAGAATAATATTATTTACCTTGTGCCTGTGTTTAAATAATTGTGTTGGGCAATGATGTGAGTGAGCCCTGAAGAAAGATTTTTGCTCACTCAGGGAAGGTAGATTATGTTTTTGTCTTTTACTTTAAGGCTTGTGCATCAAATAGTAGTTGAATATGGGACCCGCTTTGACTGTTTTATAGGAACCTTTAGATCAGGAGTAGGCAAACTCAAGCCCTCCAGCTGTTGTGCAACTACAAATCCCATAAGGCAATGCAAGATTCTGACAGCTACGAGCATGATTTCCAGAAGCAGATGCATAATGGGATTTGTAGTTTCATCACAGCTGGCGGGCCGGCATTTACCTACCCCTGCTCTAGATATATAATTCAAGAGAAAGGTACAACTGTGATATCTGGGCAAAACGAAAAAACGTACCCTTGCAGGGGGTTACCGCGCGCAAGACAAGTGTTAAGCTCTGCCAGCTCCCTCCAGACTGATAGACTGGTCCCCACAGTCTCTTGTCCCCTTCACTGTGGGGGTCTAAGGACTGCTGATGTTCTGTGCAGGTTCATTGAGAGGTGAGCACTGATTGCTGTGGGAGCCAGGATCAGGTAAGTAAAACAGATTTATATGAGCTCCGTAGACAAAGGCGCACGTAACCCTTGTAGTGCGGAGGTAGCCCCACCCCTGGGTTAAGTTTTTCTTTGCATGGAGTTCTTCTTTAAATATATCCAATTAATTTGTATGCAGTGAGATAGGCCCCTGCACTACATAGTTGTTGGTAGATGACAAGGAGATTTTACAGTCATATTGTAACATACGTGGTGATCTTAAAGGAGAACTATGGGGTTAAGGCTTTTCCCCATAGTTCTCCTTAGGGTAACGGGAGGACACAAACTAGCGTCCTCCCATCACCCTAGGCTCAGTATACCGCGAGCTGTAGCTCGCGGTATACTGAGATGCCGCAGCTGAAGCGGATCCCGACGATTGTGCCGGGATCCGCCCAACTGCGTGACTGACAGCTGGCTCTGCCTATCTAGAGGCAGAGCCAGCTGTACCAGCCCCCTCCCCCGTCTGTTCTGCCAGTCAGCGCTGGCGGATCTAAGCGGGGAGGGGGGAATACAGCCCCTCCCCTGTCACGGCAGAGAGCCGTGACAGGATCGAGAGGTGAGCGAACGCCGGTATGTGTTCGCTCACCTCCCGATCTACTGAGCCAACCTGTGACAGTCTCATTGTCACAGGTCGGCTAGAACTATGAGGTGAGTGAAAAGCACTCACCTCATAGTTCTCCTTTAAGGCTGGCCATAGATGGGTAGATGTCTCTCTGAGAAAGCAAGCATTCTAATTAAGCTTGGCCAGGTCAATCATAGATTTTTACCAAATTGGAATGTCTTTGTTGGCAGAAATGAGCACTTCCAATGCTAGCATCGCATGTTATCCTCTCCAAGGTGCACCTTTGAATAGCCTTATATTGAGCAGCTGGATCAGAGCTGGAATTGCTGCTCGTTTACAAATATATACACTAAGGATGACTATAAACTATATACACAGCTGATATGACTATATCAATAATAGGAAGCACTCGGTACCACTCATAGAAATATTCCCATTTTTGGAAAAAAAACTCTGTGCAGCCCAGAAGATGCTCTCCTACTGTTCTTATTGACAAGAGGAAAGGGAAAGTGTCACTCTAGTTAATTAGGCAAATTACAAAAGACACAAGCTGGCCCAGGCTCTACAACCTGGAAGAAGGTGTCTTTTCATCAGTCATTCTTGGAGATACATCTGCCTCTCTAATAGTAGCCAAGGGACGAGGGAGGGATCAGCCAGCACTTCCTGCAAGCTGTAATATGATTCATTGCAAGTTGTGTTCTGGAGCACAATAATGATGATATCTCCTTCAAGGTAGTAAAAATGAGGCCAATCCTCCCCTATATACTGTAACAGGTGTCACACACTTTATGGCCACCTTAAATGTTCTACAGATTTTTCAGGGCTTGAGACAAGTGACATACTGTAAATGTGTTTTTTCAGGGATAATTTCCAGTAGTACAGTTTTCCTTCATTCCAGTTATTTTATTAAAGAAAACTGTAAGCAGATAGTGGTCAGCCTTCCTTAGCTTTAAAAGGACTGCTAACAATAAGCAGCTTGCAATTGGCTATAGAAGAAATGGCATTGTATTCGGTGTAAACAGTCATTTTGTTAACATACAGATAAAACCTATTTTAGCTAAACATGTTATAATTTCCTAAATCAAAAAATGAATCCGTAATGGTCGCATGACACCCTAATAAAGACATGTTTTTGCAGCCTACTTATATTGTTTACCCTTTGAAATGCATAACAAAATATACTATATACAGCTATGAGATTAGCCAACAGGGATTATGAGCAAGGAGCTTATCTGGCCTGGAGCGTCTCCATTGTCTCCAAGCCATTAGCTGCTATGGAAATAAAAGGAGGAGGTGGGATCTTATTCTGTCTGTTTCTCTTTCAGCTGTACTAAGGCCTCAAGGATGTGTGACCAGACCTTCCTAGTTGTTCTCTTTGGCCCTTGTGCCAAATGCACTCGGGAAAGACCATTACGGACCATTTACCTCAAGGCTGAACCAGTGACCCTCTGTTCACTATGCGTGGAATTGGTACAGTATAAGTCAAATAACATGGCAATCATTGAACAGTAATGCTGGCCATACATGTAAACATACTCCTGTTCAATATAACAATTATGAAGGAAAAAGATCTTACAGAAATCTGATCATGTCAATCAATAAACTATTGTTTCCATTGAAAATGTTTGATTTTGACTGACAATTATAGTTTTTTTTAGTGTATTGAAGATATTTTGAAATTATGAATTCTTCAACTGTTTGTTTAACATTACGTGTATGGTCATAGTAAGGGGGTTTAAACCTATAATGATATTTTGGTGTTAGAAAAGTATTGTTGGGATTCTATATAAACTCCTAAAAAGTGCATTAGTAATGTACCACCATTTGTGAACAAAAACAGTAACAACACTTTTTAACTAAAGGAGTCTCTAGACCTTTTTTATTTTCCTTAAGGGAAAACTGCAGGAGAAGTAAAACATACTCTCCCTTCTGCTTAGAGCCAGTGTGGGACATTGCAGCTGTCACAATCAGCTCTCTATCAAGAGCTGAATGATAATGTAAACCCTGATCAGCCAGCTCACGATCTCTGATACCTGCAGGGATTTCCCCCCCTCCCTTCTCTACTCCTGCAGCATTCGTTGGAGGGACAGACAGGGGACGGGGCGGGCAAAGCTGGTTCTGGCTCTAGAGAGGCAGATCCAGCTGTCACTTAGGCAGCCAGGGTGATCCCAACAATATTATTATACCTTCTGGCTGCAGCACGGCTGGCATTAGCCTGATCACTATCTGCTGATTTAGTAAATTTGCCCTTGTGACCCAAAAGACAAGTAAAGCTAAAAAGAAAACCATTGGCTTTACTTCTCTTTTAAATCCCCTTGAGTTCCAGAGCATTTTTTTTTGTTTTGGCAATGTCTTGGTTCTGCACATGTTAGGTTTTGTAGTCTACAATAATGTATTATATATTGTTTGGTGGACATATAAGGTTTACATTTGGTAGAAAATTTGGATGTATTAAAACAAATGTAAATACATATATATCCTTGATATTACCTTTATTTTTCATGGGAATGAATAGTAAAAAATAGAAAAACAAATAATTTTCCTGTAATTTTTCCAATGCAATGTTGCAATGTAAATTGCGCACCCCCATATATTTACCCCCCAAAAAATCATCCAAATCTGCTGAATAAAATGATACCAGATTAGTGTGACTTTTATTTAAAGGAGAACCATGGGATGAGTAAAATACAGTCACCCTCATAGTTAGAGCCGATGTGTGACACTGAAGCTGTCACACGTCAGCTGTATTGATCGAGAACTGAGCAATCACAAATCGCTGATCGCTCAGTTCATAATCTTCTCCCTGCAGAGAGTGATGACTGTCAGTCACCACTCCCTGCAGGGATTCCCCCCTCCCCTATATGTTCCTCCAGTGCTGACCAGAAGGATTTGCATTTGCTATAAATTCAAATGAAATTGCGGTCACATAGGTGAGCATTTAATGCTTGCGCAGTGGACGCTGATGTCATTCAAATCATCCTGTGTCATTGTTGTGACCTGGGGATATATCTGGGGAGGAAATGTTTTTTTTTGTCTTTAGCATTTTTTTATTTCACTTTTTTCTTTATGGGGATCTGGAACCGGTCAGTAGAGACCCGATCCAGACCCCCCCATACAGCTGTCCATCAGCAGATCTCTTCTAATAGTAATCTATTGCTGGCTGCAATCAGCCAGCAGTGGATCACTATAGCCATGATCCATTGCTGCATGGAGATACTAGACAGAGCTGCAATAGCTCTGTCCTGCCGCTGTGGTCACAGGAAGTGCCGTGATGTCACTCATGTTTACATGTAAGTATTTACATTTTCTTCTACTTTGTGCTCCTATGGAAATTAGTTTTTGTCCTATGGAGCGATTTGTTGAAGTATCGAAAGTCCGAGAGGTGATCGTTTCAGCTTCAGGGGTTAGCACTGGATCCTGGCTATCACAGACAGCTGGCGGTTTCACCACTAATGCTGGACACTGTTTTAAAACAGCATTGGGATGAATAGCCACTATTCCAGAGCTATTTTAAAATGCAGGCTGGGACTCGAATGATTAAAAAATTACCTGAATTGTGCAAGCTGTGGCCAAAAACGGCAAGCACAAAAGACTAGTTACTACTATTACATGTTAGCTCCCTGTAGCTGATCTTTTTCCTATTACTAACTTAGCATGTATTGTTCTAAAAAGGGCTGTCCTTTGCCACTATTTGTCACCTAAGGCCGGGGTTGGGGGTGGGAGGTTGGCAAGGGGGGCGCTGTCAGCAGTGGGGTAACCAGAGTTCTGGGCGCCCGGGGCAGACATTTTTTTTCGCCCCCCCCC